GGTGTGAATCAGGAGAGAAATCTGCACAGATCAAGCAGCGTTTAAACAGCTCTAAACAAATATGTGGCTGGATTCTGATGTGAGAGACAACAGGAGATCCATTTTTTCACTGCAGGAAGAGTTATTATGGATTATGGACCCTATGGTATTTCAGTTAAAAAGGTCTTGATGCTGGATTTGTTTCAGCTTTTGTCTTCTCCAGATGTTAACTGATGGACTGGAGTGCTGTGGATTACTTGTGGATTATTGTGATGTTTTTATCAGCTGTTTGGACTCTCATTCTGACGGCACCCATTCACTGCAGAGCATCCATTGCTGAGACACTGATGCAGAGCTACATTTCTACAAACCTGATGAAGAAACAAACTCATCCTAATCTTGAATAGCCTGAGGGTTAGCACATTTTCAGCTAATTTTCATTTTTGGGTGAACTATTCCTTTAAAAAAATGTCTAAAGTACTACTTTTTGTTTATATAGAACCAGTTTGTGTTTATGACATCATTTCCTCACCATTTATAGCTCACACAAAGGGATTCCTTGATTTCATTTTTTGACAATCGTACCTGGTCAAATCATTGCATCGTAGCAGACTTTGATCATGACGATCACCTAGCCGCCTGGAAACATCCGCAGGCTAACGTCTTCGTTATTCTCTCCGCCTTCGTCATCATGAAGGTAAATAGACACACAGTTTTGTCCTCAAACTATAGCGGAGTATCTAAACCTCTTTTTTATTCAGAAATCTGGTTGCTTTAAAGGCTTCATATAATGATCAACTGATTTTTCTTACTATTTTAATATAAACAGTATATTTGTGAATGTTTGACTTGTTTTTTGATGCACTGTGTGTGTGTGTGTGTGTGTGTGTGTGTGTGTGTGAGAGAGAGAGTGTGTGTGTGTGAGTGTGTGTGTGTGTGTGTGTATGAATGTGTGTGTGTGTTGTATTTTAATGAGCAGTACTATTGTTTGTTATGTAGTTCTGGATGTCTGCTCTTTCCATAACCCTTCCTATACCATGTGGTTCCTTCGTTCCCATTTTCGTCATTGGTATGTGTTTGTGTGTTTAATCTAGAACATTATATTTACTTTTTTTTATGCATTTCCAAATTTTTATGGCCCGTTCACACCATGGATGATAACTGTAACAGTAACTAAAACCATAAAGGTTAAAAAATCCCTCTAACTCTATATGGGGAAGTCCACACCACAACTATAACAAAAGAAAATAACTATATAATTGGAATTACATTCAGAGCAATATTTTACAGAAATATTGGGCAGCACAACTGTTTTCAACATTGATAATAATCAGAAATGTTTCTTGAGCAGCAAATCAGCATATTAGAATGATTTCTGAAGATCATGTGACACTGAAGACTGGAGTAATGATGCTGAAAATACAGCTTTGATCACAGAAATAAATTACATTTTAATAGATATTCACATAGACAACAGCTATTTTAAATTGTAATAATATTATACATTTTTACAGTATTTTTGATCAAATAAATGCAGCCTCAATGAGCAGAAAAGACTTCTTTTAAAAACATTAAAATATATTTTTGTTTGGAATTTTGACCGGTGGTTTAAGTCATAGTTCTTGGTGTGAACGGACCTTTAAACCAGTCATTTTTAACAGTGTCTATTTATATGATGACTTATTTGACTCTCAAACTAAAGCGAATGCATTCGTGTGTGTTTCAGGTGCTGCGTTTGGCCGTTTGGTGGGTGAAGGTTTGGCCACGTTGTTTCCCGATGGATTTAACATTGATGGACACATATACCACATAGTGCCCGGAGCGTATGCTGTTATAGGTCAGACAGACATGCACACATCAGTTACATCTGAATACTTGGTCAAAATTAAGTATTGATTTAGCTTTTAATCAGCTGTAACTCTCTCTCGTGTTCAGGAGCGGCAGCGTTAACGGCAGGAGTCACTCACACGATCTCGACTGGCGTGATCATGATGGAGTTGACGGGTCAGATCAATTACGCTCTGCCCATCCTCATCTCTGTGATTCTGGCCAACATGGTCTCTCAGAGTCTTCAGCCTTCCATCTATGACACGGTTATCCGCATTAAAAAGCTGCCTTACCTGCCCATGCTCAGCTGGGGCCACCGAGAGTAAATCTCTTCATCCCTACATTTCATCTTTTCTTTCCATTTCACATTTTGCTGATCCTTTGCACCACCAAAACTTTTCTTATAAAACAGAGAGTTCCGGTGCTTGATTCTGATTGGCTGAGCCACGTTCGAAGCTGTTGTAAATTACTCTACAAAGTAACATACACCTTTGTTTACTTCTGTCTGTTGCTCGGCAAACACTTTGTTGCAACTACAACTGTTTCTGAGGAGCTACATTGTTTGGTGGAAGAATACTGTTTTTATTAATATCATTACACTTTATTTGCTCTGTTTTATTTTGTGAAACCTTACTACGTATATGGAATAACCGTTTTATAAAAGCAATAAGCCCTGTGAAGCCATGGATTACAGTGAATTTATAACAGCTCCGCTTCGCGTTGTACCTAACAACGCCCCTTAGCTGTTATAAATTCACTGTAAACCACGGCTTCACAGGGCTTATTGCTTTATTAGCAGTTAATTTTGACTTATTTTCAAGGGATTTTGTAAACACTTCATTTAGAATGTCATCATGTTTTTAAAGTGTACATACTACAAAAATAGCTAGAATATCAGATGTTTAATATCAGTATTGTGTGAAATACATTAGTGTATATACAGTAATTGCAGTTTACCCAGCATGCTCAGGTTTAACACATTAACATACATATTGCAATGTGCACATTAGCAGTACATAACAAAAAATTAAAGGCAGTTCAATTTTGTTTGTGTTTTTATGAATTTAAGGCAAGACACCCAAGGTGAGTAGTGTAAACAATGTAACAAATAGAAACAAATCACCATACTTCCCCAGTTGATTGATTGCATTAAGAACTGCAAACATGTTTTGTATTCAAAGTTTTCTGAAATGTGATGTTCAAATTTGCAAATGATGCATTATATAATTAAATATGCACTAATTTGCACACATTTTCAGAAGATAAATCTGAACATTGTATAAAACTAGGTTCAAAATTCTTGTTTGATTTTGTTGACATATTAGAGTTAAATGTTTTTACACAAGGGATTTTGAATTTCTCTTTTTATCATTCCATAAATCTAAAAATACCGTCAACAACCAGAAAAAAAACATTTTCACCATGTTTCTAGAAATAAAATGTTCTATAAATGAGTGTGAATAATATATAAATAAACCCCTCAGTAAAAACCTTCAGAATATAGAGAGGAATAAAACTCTAAGATTTGGTGTTTGTAAGTGCTGCTGAAGTGGAGAAAAAACTCATTTTATGAAAACGGCCTTTAAATATACAGTATGTATTATGATTGAACTCTATAGACACAAATAGATAAAGTGCAATAAAAAAGCATGTAAATTATATATGAATAAACCCCTCAGTAAAAACCTTCAGACTATAGAGAGGAATAAATCTCTAAGTTTTGGTGTTTGTAAGTGCTGCTGAAGTGGAGAAAAATCTCTTTAAAGATATGTATTGTAATTGAAATCTACAGACGCAAATAGATGAAGTGCAATAAAATAAACACTTAAAAGTGCATTTTGGATGTTTTTTTTCCACTAGTGTAAAACAATTTGAAATTAATTGCCTTAATTTTGTCTGAAGTATTTCTCTGATGTGCATCAAAGTTTTTCACAGTGACCTCTTCTCTGTCTGTAGGAAGTATGATATTTATGTGGAGGACTTTATGAAAAGAGAAGTTCGTTATATCACGCTGAACTCCACCTACAGAGACGTAATCAAGATCCTACGTTCAGGAAATCTGAAAACACTGCCTTTGGTGAAATCTGCAGGTACACACACACACACACACACACACACACGATACACACTTATTTCTCATCTACTGTAGTGTTGGTGCTGGTTGTGTTATTATATGCCAATGACTTAACTTATAAATATTTAAAAATGTATGTGGACATAAATCTATAGGGACTGTCCAGACACATAACCTAAATAATATTTGTGAACCGTTCACTATGCTGACAGGATGTTGAGATAAAATATTAAATGAGCTTTATATTTTTTTTGAATCATTTTTAAAAAAAATCTATAATTTTACTGTTTTTATTTATTTAATTTTATTGTATTCTAATGTCTATTTTTTATCTATTTAAATGACATGCATTGCAAAAGGTGTATACAAATAAACATTGCATGACTGGAGAGTTAGGTTTTTAGATCATTAGAAAGTTATTTTGAATGTTTTTTTCTTTCATCGTTTCTCTCAGAGTCAATGCTCTTGCTGGGTTCTGTCGAGCGCGCTCAGTTACTGGGGCTCTTAATGCAGCGATTGCAACACCTGCGAGAGGAAAATGCATCCACCATGCCTGTCAGATACAAGGTTCACTTCCAGGTCAGACGGAGAACATTTGACTATTAGAATAAAAACTGTAATGCTGTATTCTATTGCTGCAGCCACTGATTTGCATCACAAATACCCAGTTGTTTTTTTTTGTTTGTTTTTGGAGACAGTTGTTGATTATGGATATATACATATATGTGTGTGTTTGTGTGTCTGTTTGTTGTAGACGTCCACAGAAGAATCTGCATCCGCTTCAACCACTAAACCTCTGAAATCTGCTCTGAAGAAGCCGTCTGTAGATGAAGAAGAGATTACAAGTAATATCGAGAACCTCCCATTGACTTCTTTTGATCTTAAAATAACATAAAACATCCTTTAAATAGAATTTCTATGGCTGGTCATGTGAACGTAAAAATGCATGAAAAATATTTTTAATACAATAAGTTTTTAATTCTTAATTTATATATTTATGCTTGCAAAACACTTAATATCAATGTTGAGTTTAGTGCACTTGATCAAATGTTTACTTAAATAGCAAATAAATACATATTGTGGATATATTAAGCTTTTTCTGTGTCTCAGGTGTTTATGATTCTGGCCTCAACTTAAAGAAGTTCTTCTGTTCTCGTCCTGACATCGAGGCAATGGAGGTGAGACATCCAGCACACACTAATGTGCTCCAGAAATTTACAGTGGTGTTTTTTAGTAAGTGAGTGCCTTTTTAATTTAGTTTGATAATAACACAAGAAAACTTGCAAGTATACCCTTGGAATTGCAGAATCCAGTCATAAAAATAAAAAAATAGGTCTGTGTAATAATCAAATTGTGATAATGGCTAGTGTCTGTGATAATAATAACAAAATTATTAACAATAATTACATTTTTTAAGGAATATCACAATTTTTCTTCCATGTTGTGCAGCACTTTGTTTGGAAAAAAAAATTAAAATATTTCATAAATATCATTACATTTAAAAAAAAAATGTGTTAAATTGTTAATGTTTTACGCCTTCATTGGACCGTTTTTGATAAAAAGTGTATATTAAATCATAGGTCCAGAAATATTAAAACTGACAACATAATTTCTGAAAAAATAAAATAAAACATTTCATAGGCCCTATTATTGTAAAAATAAAGATATAAATAATTCAGATTTAATTAAGCCATCAAAACAGAATCCAGAAAAATATTAATGGAAAAGAAAGAATACTGAACTGGAAAAATGGGAAAAAATAAACCAGATAATTCTGTTTTCAGCCTAAGAGTGTGTGTGTGTGTGTGTGTGTGTGTGTGTGTGTGTGTGTGTGTGTGTGTGTGTTTTAACACACATGTAGGGTTTCCATGTTTTATGGGTTCATTCCATAGGCGTAATGGTGTTTCTACTGTACAAACTGTATTTTCTATCCCCTTACCCTAAACCTACCCCTCACACAAATCCACAGACTATTTTACTTCATTCTGTATGATTTATAAGCTTGTGTCCTCATGGGGACCAAAAACTGTCCCCACACACAAGGTCAAAATATACTGCTATAACTATCTTTGTGGGGATATTTGGTATTCATAAAGTAGGGAATACCAGCACGCACACACACTCACATACAGTATCTCTGGGTGTGAATGCAGATTGAGGAGTGGGAGGAGCAACAGATGGACGAGCAGGTGAACTTCAACAGCTGCAAGATTGACCCCGCCCCCTTCCAGCTGGTGGAGCGCACTTCACTGCACAAGGTGTGTGTTTAGGGATCACAATTGTGACATCATAATCGTGATGATGTGTTGTTAGTTACAGTTTTTCTCAGTGGCTTTGGTGCATTTCTCATATCAGAAATGAAATTCTCAAAACTACTTGTTTATCTAGTCACTTGTGCACATCATAAAAGCAGTTTCTCATTCTTTTGAGCAAGTTGCGATTGCTTTGCTACATTCATGCAATTGATTATGTGCATTTATGTGCATTCTACTAACTATAAGTAACTTTGTAACTACATGTCTGCTAACTCTAGTAATCTAGTAGACTGTTAGGTTAGGTTTAGGGTTAGTAGAATAAGTTGATATATACTTGCAAAGTTTCTCATAGTCAGTATGTTGTGGACCCATGAAAATAAAGTGTTAGAAGATATTAAGCAGACCGCCTGCTAATACTCTAATGACTGCTAGTTGACATGTAGTTGCAAAGTTACTTACTGTTAGTAGTGGACTATCAAAATAAAGTGTTACCCATTTGTCTGCAGTTTCCTGCGTTATCAGTTGCTATTGTCACGTTGTTCAAAATGTATTATATAGTTCTCTGTGCAATAGACTTTCCCCTCAAAACATCTAGGCATTAGTTCATCGTATAAGTCAATAAATGCAAAAAGGTTGATCTAGTTGTCATAAACTGTCGAGCATATTTTCTACAAGACGTTTTGTAAATTTGCCATGAATTGTGCAGGTGAATCTTGACTTTCTCTAATGAAGAGAATGTAGATCAGCTAATGATAAACCAGTTCTCTGTGAATCCTATCCAGTCTCTTTCAACCAATACCCCACATACAGTAGCTAATGTGTAAAGTTGTACTTTTGAAATGGACATATGGCATACTACAGAAGAAGCGCAACCTTCTGCATTTCAGTACAGTAACTGCATCCAAACTGCTGTCATAGTTTACATCAGGCAATACTAACAGAGTTATATTGACAACATGACTAAGCATCTTGTTTGTGAACAATGACACAAGGACTTTTCATTCTGATGGCACTCAAATGTTCATTGACATAAATTCTTACTTTTGAGAGATGAGCTAAAGATTGTGAGTAAGTTACAGGCTTTTGCAGGTAATCCATCATGTGGTGCTGTTTGTACGAATTGTTTTGAGAAATGCACATACATTTTTGCAAATATTAAGGATGATTCGAGAAATGCACCAAAGCGACTGAGAAAAACTGTAATAGTTTTACAGTCTGCTGCTTTTGATTGTACTGTTATCGTCCCTATCAGATATTTAATTCGAGAAATGCAACAAAGCGACTGAGAAAAACTGTAATGTTACTGTATGTCACATTATTTCAGAAGAAGAATAAAAGTGTGGTCTGCTCTGATATATTCCCATTTAACATCTCTCTGGTCTTCTCTCCGACAGACTCACACCATGTTTTCTGTGTTGAATCTGGATTACGCTTACGTCACCAGCATCGGACGACTTGTCGGAGTTGTTTCACTGAAAGAGGTGAGAATTTATCACACGTCACATAAAAATGACATTCAGAAGTTAAAGATCAAAATATTCCCACATCGTCTACACTATTTATTGCTTCTTTATTGGTATTATGGTTCAGTAAAGAACCTCGAACGTCACGGCAAATTTCCATTTGCACAAACGTTTCTTTGTAGCAGAGAAAAAGTAAAAAAAAATAAAAAGTTATAAAAAATAATGAAACTGGTCTTTTTTTAGTTCGAAAAGCTAGTTCCATTTCATTTGTAGTGCATTTTCTAAGATTATAAATATTCTGTGAGAGTAATAATGTGTTTTAAGGGCTAATAGTTTCCATTTTAAGCTAAATTAGGGCATTTTAGTGCACACTGATGTAAGAAATTAATGTTTTTATTCATTAAAGATGCAATAAATTGATCAAAAGTGACAGTAAATACATTTATAATGTTACAGTTTTTTTTCCCAACTTTTATTTTTGTATTTCTTATAACATAACTCAGAAATACAAAAAACACAGAAAAGAAAAAATGGGAAAAAGAAAACAAAATAAATAAAGAACCAGAGGCATGACATACATTTCTATTTCAAAAAATGCTGTTCCTTTGAACTTTCTATTCATCTGTGAATCCTGAAAAAATAAAATGCATCACGGTTTCCACAGAAATATTGTGCAGCACAACTGTTTTCAACATTGATAATAATCAGAAATGTTTCTCGAGCAGCAAATCAGCATATTAGAATGATTTCTGAAGATCATGTGACACTGAAGACTGGAGTAATGATGCTGAAAATACAGCTGCGCATCACAGAAATAAATTACAGTTTAACAGAGATTCACAGAGAAAACAGCTGTTTTAAATTGTAAAAATATTTTACTATTTTACTGTATTTTTGATGAATTAAATGCAGCCTTGCTGAGCAGAAGAGACTTCTTTCAAAAAAAGGCCAAAGGACGTTTTGACATGAATGAACAAAATAACCAAACCGTCCGTTAACGGTCTCTGCTGTGTGTTTTAGTTGCGTGAAGCGATCGAAGGCTGCATGCCGGCAGACGGTGTGAGGTTGCGTCCTGTTATGTCCACTTTCAGAGACCGAGGCGTTCGAGGAACCAGGACCGAAACCATCGAACTCCACCAACTACTGGAGCATCAGATCAGCTGATTCTAGGTGAAGCAGAGACCGAACGCACAAAACCATTAGTAGTTCTATAGAGAAGTATATAGAGAGAGTCTATAGAGAACTACTAATGAGTGTCTGTTCTCTTTCTGTTCCCATTTCTGCACTGATTCCACTTTCCAGTTGTGCAAACAATATATAAATTAACTAAATAGTGTTTTTATTCATTCTAAACAGTGCATTTAGGATATCATTTAGGGTTTTATGCTGTTAAGTACATTTTAGTTTAACACTTTGTTTTATTGATGCTTTTTAACAAGAAAAAAAATAACATTTTGACTATTGCATGTTTAAAACTCTCTAGTTGCACTCCAGTGCATTGAATCGCAGCATAATGGCAGAGAAAAATAAATAAAAACAGATACTTTTCATTGGTATTAAAATTCTGTTAAATAATAACTAAATTATTAGAATTACAGTATTGGAGAAAAGTGATATTTTTATTAGTTTCTTGATCATGAATCTAGAAAATTTAAATGCTGTTAAAGTATAATAATTACAATAATATTGAGGAAAATGTGCATTTTTATTGGTTTCTGGATTGTGAATCAAGACCATTTAAAATAAATAAATGCATAAATAGGGGCTTTTTAAGCAAGAAAACAGAATTGCTGTTAAATAAAGTGTAATAATAACAATATTGGGAGAAATATTGCACTTTTTATTAGTTTCTTGGTCATAAATCTAGAAAATTTAAATGCTGTTAAAAAAGAAATAAACTATAATCATTACAACAATATTGGGAAAAAATGTGCGTTGTCTTCGACACGTGTAACCTTTTTGAAAGATGAATCACATGCATTTCTTTATTTCCTACCTCGTATTCAGACATAAGAAACAAAAGTTGAGAGGTTTATTGGTGTTGTTTATATATATATATATATATATATATATATGTATGAAGAGTTTATTTGCAAAAGCCTCTAAGTGCCATCTAAAATGTTCTTCTAAGATGGTTATTTTCTCAGGCTCCTATGTTTATGTTCAGTTATTTTACTTTAATGGGAAAGAAAATTTTTATTTTTAATTTTTTTAATTTATAAATGTTTGCTGTTTAATAACCCCTATATTTTGGTAAATCAAGACATGTTTTTCCCCGCTATTTTCCAAAAAGTGCATAAACTCTACACACGTGTTTGTGTGTTCCTGTTCTGTAGTTGTGTTTGCAGACACCAAAACTCAATAAAATAAAAAAGTGGAATCTGCAAACGTCTTAATATTTCATTTTACTTTGCAACTTTTTTTTTCTTCTGAATTAGTTTTTACATTGAATGAGAGTTTTTAGTGTTGTTTTTGTGTTGTTAGTGACACAGTTTGTATTGTTTTTTCCCACAAGTCTTCACTTCTCCTGCACCAGGGTTGGTTAGTAGAAGGTTTAACTGGTTAGTGTTAGTTAACCGCTGCTGGACTCACAGACAGAGAGAGAGACGTTTCTCACACACATCACCGGAGCCACACAATGTCCTCACTGAAGCACACACTGAAGCATGTGTGTGTGTGTGTGTGTGTGTGTGTGTGTGTGTGTGAGAGAGAGAGAGAGAGTGAGTGTGAGTTCGTGTTGTTCATCTGCGCTCCATTAATATGATGTGCTGGCATTTTTGGAAGGACAACGACTGACCGTGACTGACCAAAATACTGGCTTCTGATTGGCTGAGCCCTCATCATCAGCGAGACGTGACTGACGTGTGTGTGTGTGTGTTTGGATGAGGGATGTTTCTCCCAAAATACCACTGATTCTCTGAAATGGTCAGACTGGTGCTTAGAAAATGTATAATTAATGCTTTAAAATTATGGTGAAAATTAAAATTGCGATTGCTAGTTGAAAGCATTGTGGTTACTGAACATTGTAGTTTTAGCTCCATACAGACAGATTATATTTCATGATATTAAAGTGACCTTTGGCCTTCAGTCACAGCTTATTCTGTACTAAAGGTCAGAGAGTGACAGCAAAGGTCAAAGTTCAGCCAGATTAAAGTGTGTGATGTTTCTAATGTGATCAGAAATGTTCAGGACAGTAACTCTACAATGCTGAGTCTTTAATTGTGTTAAATTGCTCGATAAAATCCTATAAAGTCATTTGGTGATTATAATGAATATTTCAGAGACTCTTATTATTCGTATACATGTTTTCAATTATTTACATAATATTTTATTGTTTTTTATAGTAATTAATTGTGTGGATTTGTCATTTTTATTTATTTATTTTTCTTTTTAATTTTAGTACCTCAGGTTTGCTAAATGAACGGCAACTAGCTGGAATAAATTTTGAATTAATGCTTTTTAATAAATTAATACTATAATATTAATAGATTCACTTGATAAGAAATGAATACATTTAATATTATTTTAATTTAATATTAAAATTAAAATTACTAATTTTATTAATTAATAGGTAATTAATGCATTTTTTTGTATTTTATTTGTATTTTTCATTTCTTAGTTTATTTTTAAGTAACAAAAGTTTTTTTTATGGTAATAGGTAATTAATGCTTTTTTTTGTATTTTAATTTTAATTTTTAATTTCTTAGTTTAAGTAACAAAAGTTTTTTTATGGTTTTGGTTTTAATTTATTATAATAACCCTGTTTTTAATGAAATCTAACAGATTATTGTATGAAAATGTAAAGGAGAACCGAAACAAAATGTTTGTTTTTTTAGTGTTCAATGATTATTTCTGTCTGTATTGTTTGTATAATCACTGTGACTCATAAGCATCTTAACTTTTGTTTAATATTTAAGTGATCCAGATAATATTGCGTCAGATTTTCCTCTAGTTCTTTCTGTCACACTTTCAGTTCCTTCACAGAAATCTCCAGACGTTCTTTCTCTCTCCTCAGAAATAATCATTAACCTGAACGTTTGTCATCGTACTCCAGAGTTTGTGTTTAAAGGATCGACACAGACGTACAGTACATGAAGATCCCTGCCTTTGAACAAACACACTTGAGCTGAGCAAATGAAACGCCGACATACACAATGCAAAGGCTTTGTTTAATAGCTTTACTTTACAAAGATTATTGTGAACTAAAGTATTTGATGCAGTCCTTAATTTACATTTGCCATCCCAAAAATATATACATTTTCATGTTAAGCAAAAGATATTCACTGTTTACGACTCCTAACCTCTTAGACTGAAAGCAAAATATGATTTGACCTCCTCGTATGTGTTTCATATTTCCAAACGTCATAAATGAAATGTTATTTTTGTCAATAAAATGTATAATTCTTCTCAAAATCAGGGTTATTATAGTTAACTACATCTAAAACCATTACCACTAATAATAACAACAAATAAATAAAATGAACATTAACTGAAATAAAATATATATTAAAAATTAACAATATACAGTAGTCAACATTTGAAGTGGATCAAAAAAGTTCATCTAAGACAAGAACACTTTTAGGTTTTAGGACAAATTTGATGAAAGGTTTTGACTTCAAATGTTAACTATAGTATATTTCAGCTACATTTATTTTATTTCAAAAACTAATAAAATACAAACAAAATGACCAAAACTCTCAAATTAAAATAAAAGTGGAAAATAATAAATAAATACTATATTAGTATCTCAGAGTTTTTTGATGTGTGTTTATGATTTAATGACCACGTTGATAGCACTTAATGCTGATTTTCACCAGGAGACGGAGACATTTATGCCTTCTATTTGTTTAAAATATCTTGAAAATTCTGTGTGGCGATTTTATTATTTTAGATAATATTTTTATTACTATTTCAAATGTTTAAGTTCAGTTCTTTCTAAACAATAGATTTTCTGTGACAAAAAAAAAGCTCAATTTTTTTGGTCTGGCTGGCTATTGGAATATTATATGTGGTCATATATCAGTTTAGATAACTATATCATACATGTTTCATAATAAAGCTACCATATGAAGACATATGAATACAGTTGGAAAATCATTTCATTTGCTTTGATGTTTTAATACGCTCGTTCACATTGATTCTCTTGCAAGCAATTCAAGAAAAAATTCAAATAAATGTTATTCATTCACTTTCTCCTCTTAAAACGTTTAATAAGCTGATAACGTTTGATGTGCTTTAGCTGTACTGAGAAATGATTAACGTTATCAGAACGTTCCGGCAAGGTTCTATCAACGTTCTTCCAGTAACATTACTAGAGCGTTCATTCGACGTTATCTGGTCTTTATTAATGTTCTTACACTCTTAAAAATAAAGGTGCTTCACGATGCCATAGAACAACCTTTTTTGTCTAAATGCTTCCATAAAGAACCTTTAACATCTGAAGAAGGTTCTTCAGATTATAAAAAGGTAAGATGTGCTGGTCTTTGTGGAACCAAAAATGGTTCTTCTATAGCATCTCTGTGAAGATCCTTTATTTTTAAGAGTGCATGTACATTGTTTATTTTTCTGAAAGATTTCAGTGGAATGTTCAGTTGTAACATTTTTTAAAAGTAACTTTTTTTGTTTTAGAACGTTTAGAAAACATTCCAAATGTAACGTTCCCATAGTGTTTGGAAGTGATGTTACAATAACCAAATTAAAATGTGTTTAAAATGTTTTAAAAAGCTGCACACCAAAACTCAATTCATGCTAGGAAAAAAAACCCGTTCTTTTTTTCTGGGAAGCACATAAAGATTATTTTCACATAATGATAAACCATTTTTAATAGACGACCGAATGCAGTCATAAAGCGTGTGTTCAGTGCTTGTTTATATGTATATTTCTCGTTTATGTGAGGTGAATGTTTGATCTGAGAGAGATCTGCATGTGTTCTTCAACAGATCCGCTCGACTTTCAGCTTCAGATTCATTCTTTGCTGCATGTTTTGTCAATAAATGAGTCTGACTGAATAGCATCCTCTTTGAATAAAAGCATCTGCTTTCATTGCATCAACAGTTGCATCATTTCTGACGGCTGTTTATCATTTCTACACACTTCTGAGATATACTGGGGTTAATTAGGGTAAATATTAGAGTAAATTCAGGTCAATTGAGTCAATTTTGAAA